TATTGTTTTGGTCATCACTTTTCCCAATAGGATATAGATTTTAAGGTAAGATTCTGTTTGTTTTCCTTTACTAAGAAGGAAGATTTAGAAATTTTACTATTCATATTCTGCCCCTTCTCCCACCTAGCCATATAAAACTCCCTACCACTCTACCCTTCCTCACCAAAAAAATTTTCATGGTTTAAGTAAATATTTCTACTAAGTCAGCTTTGAAAGACAATCATTTTAGAAACAAATAAAAAACCCAAGAACCACAGTGTTTTAAAATATTTTAACACAAATTTTCCTACTCACCACCCTGCTAAACACTAAAACTTATTGGATACCTGAAAGTCCCTGATAAGAGCAAGATAACCATTGTACTCTCTAGATGTGACTGGGCATATATCTGACATCAGATATACACATGGACCGGGGATTTAGCTCAGTGGCACCCTGCCTGCCTTGAAAGCATAAGGTCCTTAGTTCAATCCTCTGATACAAAAAAAAAAGAAAGAAAAGGAAAGGAAAAAGAAAGAAAGTCACTTCTTGTGAAACCACTTAATATAAATTGATTGGAAAAATATGCAGGTCCATTAATTTTCAGAAATGTACTTATAAAATCAAAGCCCAATTCTAGAGATCAAGTCTTTATTGTAAAGCATTCATGGATGTTGTAAAGTTTCATTTTTTAAACAGATTTCACTACCTGCCTCTGATGCAAATTTAATATCACTTGCTCCTTCTCCAGTTGATCAAGGAGGAGGTCTATGATTACTTTCATAAGTGCAGATTTCTCATTAAAAACTAGCCTGGTGCATATTTTCATTATTTTACTGAAAAAATTTTTTTAATCGGTAAAATATTTTGTGGGATTATGCTATGATTCCATAAAACATTAAGGAAGATAGATTTAATTATAATACAATTTTAAAACTTATACAGATTTTAGTCCATTTGACCCTTGCTGCAGTGTAGCAAAACATAGAATAGAATAGTAATAGAATCATAATCATAAACCCAGCAGGAACCGTTGAGGTCAGTAGCAAACTCTTTCCTTCTTACAAACTAGAAAACAAAGATCCAAGGATGTTGAGTGAAAGTTCCTAAGGGTTGTAGTTTTTCTACTTCCTCTCCTTACCTTTCTGCCTAATGCTACCTTTACTAAGCTCATCTGCCAGATAATATAATTGTAGCCCCTCACCCAGAGCATCCATTGAGTGAGCTGGAGCCAGATCTTTACCTTCTACTTCATTTTAGACTACTCTCCAAGGCCTAGCCTGCTATTAATCTCTGCTGGCTCACCAGCCACTCCCATCCTGTTTCTACTTTTTAGAGAAAAAGATTTCTGTTCCTCTCACAAGGTGCTGAAGTCTCCAGCAAATGTTTGGGTAACATCCCCAGCATCATTAATAACAGGCTTAGGGAAAGAAATCAGCAGTCCCACTGCACTATTTTTTAAGTTTCTATAAGAAGCAGTGTGTATTCAGTGTTTGTTGAATTGAATAGGAGAGAAAAGAGGACAGATAACAAATCTGTTGCTCTTTTCTGCAAGGACTGAAGATCTGTAAAAGGGCCCTGTGGTTCTCCTGAGTAGCAGATATGCGAAACAACTAGAAATAAAACCTGAGAACCAAATCCAACTTCACCACATAACAACCTTCATGGCCTTGAGAAAGTTACTAACTTTCCTGTATACTGTAATTTTCTTTTCTGTAAATACCATCTACCTTACAGAGATTTTATGCGGATTAAATTAGACAATGTCTGTACAGAGTCAGGCACACAACAAATGCTGCCCTTCCTGTCTGTCTGGGAGGTGACAGGTAGATAGCCTGTTTCTCTGCTTTGTTTGCAAGCTGGAGCACTAAAATCAAGCTAGATTCTTCAGCGTTATTAGCACAGCCCTGGACGACTAAAACAGTGTCACAGCTTTATTCTGTCACTGTGCCACACATGCTGCAGGGTGTGACCAGTGAAGTTTTCCTTCCTTTCCTCATTAACACGTTGCTGATGCTAAACAGAGCACTAGGAAAGGAAACACATAGGTTAAGAGATTTTTCTTAAGTGAAACTGGATTATTTTGAAAAATGTTTTCTACAGTAACATGCTGTAAAACATTATTTAATTTTCTGAATGACCTTGAGAATTTTGTAGAGTAAATATTTAAAGCGACGATGCTTCTGTGGCTTTGTCATACACAAATGACATTATAGAATCATCGGTCAGATTTGTCCTCGCACTTTCCAAAAACTTGTAGAAGTCTGAAGCCAGTGGTAACGCGCTAGTACACTGTAACAAGTTTGTGGATCTGGAAATGTATGTTTCACACATGCAACAACAGGGTTTTTATGACAAATGCTTTCCATTTCTTTATGGAAATGTTACAATTTCATGATATGTGTTTTCTATAACTTTTTATATGAAACATTTAAGACATTTTTAATCAGGTTTTCAGATTATCCTTTGAGCCCAAATAAAATAGTGATACAAATCTCTCTACTGAACAAAATGTAATTAACATTCAGAATGATACTATTGGGGAAGTGACCCTTGCTTATGCTTATAGCTTATTCTAATGCTAGATCTGAGAACTAGTGGTTTGTAGCTGAGAACCTCTTGGCACACTGATGATGAGTTTAGTCAATCCTGACCAAGATTTTGCCAAGTTGTGAATTTATTGAAGTTAAATAATAATAGTTTTTGAAAATATAAATCCTCCTCCATCCTCGCAAATATTCACATACTATATCTTAAAATTACCTGCCCAGTGAATTGTATAATAAAAGGTTCAAGTCTTGGGAGTGGAGGGTAATAAGGAATTTGGAAAAAAGCAAGAGAATAACATTCAATCCTAACATGAGAAAACTCAGTTTTGGCAGCACGAACGATGGCAATTATTTTCAGAATTTTACAAAACGAAGACTTCAGGATATACTGCAATATTGACCATATCAGAGAAGAAGCTACATACTAAAAGAAAAAAAGAACACTAAACAGTAACAGTATAATTTATACTAAATTATGCCAGTCCCTTGGAAAATTACAACATAAATCCGGATGGTCTTTTAATTGATCTAAACAAGGATGGCAGATGTATTATGTGCTTGTTGCATGTCTGTATATGTATCTAGATCTAGATCTTTATAGCCTCAGATTTAATATCAGCTTTGTTAGTCAAAGATGATACTGAGAGTTGACTTTTTAAAACATGTGTAAGTCATTTGCCTAAATAAATGTGTTGTATTCTTTAACAAATAGTGACGGGCTACCTGTACATCAGGAATTTGCAGGGGCAATAATATTGTACTGAGTTGGAATTTAATATTCATAAGCAGTCAGTGAAGGACTGGTTATACCACACTGGTGTTTTAAAAAATAGAAATAAGAAAAATGGCAAAATGAGGCTATTTTGAGGAATCATTGAATAATCAGATTTTCTGAAAAAAAGTAGTTAGAATCACCTAATCCAAACAATGAGAGGAATAAGGAAGCTACATAGGCAGCCAATAAGTATACACTTTTGGCTTCAAATCTCACTGCAAATGGCATAAAAGAATTATAAAATAATAAAATACAAAACTATGTGGCTAATGTCAGTTAATTCATTTTGTCTCTGTCATGTAGTCTTTTTGAAATTATACCATCCAAAGATACTTCTGAATTAAAAATAAGATACGCAAACTCTAACTGCACAAACACAATGGTCTATGTTTTAATCTTTTGTGTTACTTCAATGTATTAAAATTTTGTTCACTTCAACGTAGTGTTTTTTACATGTCAAGCAACATAAGTCATAGGAAGAGAAGTCACATATAGTTCCTACCCGAATATTTGGCATTCTATTTAGGTTAAAGTACTTTTATCGTTTCCGCTCTGATTTTTCTCACTTCAGCTTTAGCACAAGGGCTTTGTACATTTTATATTCACAAACAGTACACTCTGGGCCTTTGCTCTAATGCTAGAGCTGATTCCCTCCAGACACATCCTTTGAACATCCTAGGCCAAAAGGACTTGATTGTTACTTGTATGTTAGCTTTTATGATCTTATTTCTCTGGCCTGTATCGGCATTTAGTGGAACCCTTGAAGAAAGTACAGACAGCTGACTGGATCAGGGAGACATTGGGGGGGAAACTCCCATTGTTTAGATTTCTGTCAGAAGATATAAGAATATTTAATTTCTTTTGTCTCTGGGGCTTTCATTATCATTTAAATTTCATTTTACATTAATTGATCAGGGATTAGTAAAGCCATTATGCAGAAATTAGAATAAGACAAGCCAGATGGAATGAATAATTCATAAGGTCCAATTACGTTTTATTTCTGGTGTACTTTCAAACTTGCCTCTGACTTCTGTGCTATTTTGATGTGACAATATTCATTGGAAATCAAGAGTGCCATTTTAATGTATTGTATCCCTCTGGAGTGGAAGAAAGCATTTGTATGCAGAGTGAGTGTGTTCACACATTTCCCCCGCAGAATGCCAATTTTAGGGTTCTTGGAAATACGGAGAGACGGCGTATTCTCTAAGGGTTCGGGGACACTACAACCAGCCAGCCACACCGGTCCACTGAATCTGGGGGCACTAACCTCACGCAGAGAGGCCGCGGTCGGGAGGGCGAAATTTTCACCTCTCCGAAGAGCCCTAACCCCTTTCAAAACGTTTGCCCGCGTTCCCCCACCTCAAAGGAGCCCTTCCAAGACTGATCAGGCCTAGAACTGGGCTGGGAGCAGCAGCCGCAGCGGCGGCAGCGGAAGGCGAAGCCACCAGGTGGCAGGCGT